CCGGCTTATGCAAATGAAGCCCGGGAAATTCAAATCCCGGGCTTCATTTGCAAGTGCGGTATGCCTACATTACCCCGCTAGTTCGAACTAGCGGGGTAGTGTAGACATACCCTTAGTGACGAACAAAAAAACATAAGACCATGAGCTTTCCTGGGTGAAACCCACTTCATCATCTGATCACCCACAAAAGCTCGCGGTCCTATTTAGTTTTGTTTGTTTCTATGGTGCCAGAGGACCTCCTGAGGTACTTGGTTTGTCACTTGGGGGCATGGAGGAAGTTAATGGACTGAATTATTCATTATTCAGCATCATCTGAGCTGTTAGATGTTTCCCTGCAGCTATGTCAAAATTTGGGTCAAAACCTGGCTTGGTCCCACAGCTGTTGGTTGGTGAGTTGTAGAACAGTGACATCTGGGGGCTCCGTTACGCTAGGTGCTGTACATATGAATAGTAAGGGTACAGGCGACCCTCGCACTTACAACCTAATTGGTTCCTGGAGAACCCTCATATGTTGAACCCTTACTTCCCATAGGCACAATGTTATAAATGGTGGTTCCATTCCTGGAAACCCATTTCATACCCTACAGATACCAAAACTGACTACAGAAATGGAGGAAAACTAAACTAAATAGTTCAAATAATGCTCAAAAATAATTAAAAAGTGAAGACGCGTTGTAGGTCAAGCAGCCGCTGCAGACTGACGAGTCTGACTGACTTTGTACATTTCCTGTTTTGGGATGATGTGTGAAGTCTGCGTCGTGCACCGTCATAAATACAAACTGCGCACGTAAATTGAGGGGGTTTAGGAGCTCTCTCACATGGAAAGAATGGTTGTAAATGCAGGGAGTTGTAAGTCGGGCGGTTGTAAGTCGGGGGTCGCCTGTATATTTAAACTCGAGCTGGAAATCACACCCGCACCGCAAGCGTGGATGGACCCCCTCAGACATGCTCTACATGGGCCTGGCAGACAGGGCGAGAGCTGTGAAGGGGTCGTGTCCCCGTTTTGACCAGTCTGAAGGCACACCTCCAAGAAGGGACTCCAAGAGTCCATGTCTGTAGGCCCCCGTCTCTAAGCACGCCCGTACGGTATTTCCCAGAGGTGGGAATGGAGCCCAGCAGTCCTGATGCGCAGCCCCTGCGCCCACCCCCTGCTCCAACCTCTGACAGGCACGCTGCAGCTTTACTGGTCCAAACTGACGTTTGTTGCGACTAGAGTCATCAACAAAGAGAGCCTGTATTCTGTGTCATCTTTTTTTCCCCACCTCCTTGTTTCCCTTCCAGATGCCTAGACTAGCAAACATCATGAGAAGCATGAAGGAGAGGTAAATAACTTGGTGTCTGGCCCAATGCATGCGGGCTTTGTTCTACTTTTCTGTGTTTTGAGATGAAAATTGAACATCAGGGGATTGTACCTAAGCAATCAAATGCGCCCCCGAAAGCACCTGGCAGTGGTTACTGTCAGGACAGGACACCGGGCTAGCTGGACCGTCGGTCTGACCCAGGGTGGCCGTTCTTATGTTCAGCCTTCCCCGGCTGCTCTCTGGGCCACAGCCCTTGTATTTCTGCAGCGTTGCATGCTGGGGCGCGGCCACTGAGGCACCCTTCCCTCGTGCCCCAGGCTTTCCCGGCTTGCTCTGTGTCCCAGGGCCTGCACTCGGGGGTACCCCCATCAGGCGGAACCAGGACTGTTAGGGACACTCGACACCAATCTGGCCCTGAAATGACAATTCCCTTGGGAAGGAATCAGTCCAGTCCACAAAGTGCCAACCTGTCACCCTCTGCATCCACAGAGGTGGAGCATTTCCCGGGATATTACAGGTTGGTCCTCCCTGGTCCAGCATCCTCAGGACCTGACTGGTCCCGGATGAGGGGGTTTTCCGGACTGGGGAGGTCATGGCTGGCCCCGCCTGCTGCTGGTCCCTCCCTCTGCCTCTCCCGCCGGGCTTCTTGGCTCCCCCTGCAGCCCAGCTGAGTTGCTGCTCCTCCCTTTCCCCCCACAGCCCAGCTGAGCTGAGCGCCAGCTCCAGCTGACCACGCACTGGC